TCCCCTATCCAACTACCCAATATTATTCCCAAAATCTTATCCAAAATAATAAACCAAACGCACCCTTAATTATTTGGGAGATTTTGCAATACTCTTTCACATATAATCTTGTAAAATTAAGAATGAGAATTATTATGCCATATGATTTTTTTTGTTTTTTTAACCTTTTTAATAATAACAACAATTTAAAAATCAAACTATTTTGGCCCTATATATATATATATATTTGTTATAGATGTCCAATAGGAAAATGATTTATTTATTTCTTTCTGAATCCAATTTGTTATATAGTTTATTGGTTTTTAGCATTTCCATCTATAAAATTGTTTCATATTATATATTATTTTATTGCAAATAATTTTAAATGTCAAAAACAAAAAAGTTACAAAATTTAAATTATCTCTTTCATCCCTAATATTTGGAAGTGGCTTGTGAAAGTCAAGATATGAAACGTTATTAATATTATTCAAACCAAGTATCAAATGCCCTTTCGAAATTATTCCAAAAACTAATATTTAATTAATTATTTCATTCAAAATAATAGAAATATCATACACTATGTTTGGCTTAGTATTTTTATCCATATTCTGGATCCTATTCTCCAAATAATGTTTGGCACATTATTCCAGAAATATTATCTTATTTTTTTAATTACTTTTAGACCCCATAAGGTTATTAATTTCACTAAATACCCCCTGAAAAAAAGTTTAAAAATTAATAAAAACACCCCCATCAACCCAACTTGTCAGATTCTGGCAACCACCGTCGGTGATAGCCGGAATCTGTACAACGGCCTAACTTCCGACCAGAAATGGCTGGAAGTTCACCAATGTGGCCTTTTCCGGCTAGATCCACCACGGATCTAGCCAGAAAAGGCCAGATCTGGCCTTCAGCGAAGACCAAAGAAATGGCCGTCATTTGGCCTTTTCCGGCCATCGACGTCCATAACAGACCGTAGATCTGGCCTTTTCCGGCCAGATCCACCATGGATCTGGCCGGAAAAGGCCATAACGACGTGTTACAGCACAGATCCGATCGGTCTGTGCCGTAAAAAAAAATTTCGGCCAGATTCCAGCGGTGGTGGCCGGAATCTGGCACTACAGGTGGTGGGGGTGTTTTTATCATTTTATCTGTTAGGGTCTTTAATTAAATTAATAAACCTAAGGGTTTTTTTACAAATTTTTAAAATTTACCTCGTAATACTCCCCTATCCAATAACCCAATACTATCCCCAAAATCCTATCCAAAATACTAAACCAAACGCACTCATATTGTATTGTGACTGTAATAGACTTATCTATAGACCATACATAAATAAAGTCATCATTTAGTACTTTAGTGGCCATGATTGACTGTTTAGAAAGAGAGAACATAACAATTTATGTTATTGACTGTTACAGCATAAATAATATGATGATCATATTTGAAGAGATTATGATCATCATTTTGAAGACTCTCTTAACATATATGTATATATATATATATATATAGTAATAGAGTGCATTTAATATAAACCTAATTTTTGAACTTTGAATCACGTGATTCATGCAAATAAAATGCATTGACTTTGACTTCAAATTATCAATTCGTTTATATGCAGACGCAAGTAGCAGATAGGATTTCAAATTATTACTCAATTTCGTTTTTTAATGAAGCCAATCACGTATCAAATAATGTTCCATTTGTTAATCTTTACAAATACGAGTCTTATCGAGTTCCAGTATTTAAAGCCAAATAAGAAAGGAGACGGCTTTAATTAATGATTGAACACTCATTAATCACCTAGCTTTACAACTAAACAAGTACCCGGTGATTTCCAAATCATTAATGTGTATCAATTATCATGATTCTCATCATCTTCCAATCTCTGCCCATCCACCTCACACTTTTTCGCATTTTATCACTAATATATGGTTTATCCTAAATTCAAATAATTGAATAACATACTCTCACCAGATTGAATTCCAATTTTATCACTAATTTTGTAAGTTGATTAATTATGTATCATTTAATCATTTATAAATTACAAAAATCACAATTATCTAATGATTTTTGCCATATGAAAAACAATATTTGCAATAGTAATAAAAAATATATTACAACTTATATTTACATATACCAATACTATTATTATAAATATTAAAGTTTAGAGTTATAAGTTGGCCGAATTTTCCGTCTTTAAGGAAAATCAGTTCAATCTTTTATCAACAAAATTCTCATTCTCCCTTTGGAGTTTCAACTCTCACATAAAAATTTTGTTTCAACAATACAAAAGGAAAAGAGAGTTTGAATCGACGTCAAAATTCAATCTATTCTAGATTGCTTTCTCTATTAAATTTCTGAATTTTCATATGTCCTAAAATTCCTTCCAAAAATTTATATATGAAATAGTGTAACAAACCCTAATTTTAGTAAGTATATCTAATCCAAATTATATATTGTTTCAATCATTCTCCATATTTTAAATTAAGATGAGAGGGAAGTGACAATGAATGAGTGGTAGATTGAATAATTTGAATTGAAATACAAACACGATTGAAAAGCGCCATGGTTTGACAACTACGTCTACGCGTTAAACATCATTGAAGGGTTGGATGTGTGCTCCACTATAATCTTTGTTCAATAAACCATCATCCTTTACTCAATCCAGAATTTTGGATACTTCAGTTATATGGCATTTATTTAATTTGAAAATGACAATTCTTATGCAGCATAAATGGGCAATCAATATTATTCTTAATTAATCAAATCAAACTAAATTCATTAACTTTATATGAATTATCCGAATTTTGTGTAATATATCATATTTAGTTAACTGGAAACTCATTGAATTTTGTGTAACTATAATATGGCTAAAACTAGACAAAGTTTTGCCGCCATATTTGTTGCACATCTTTATATGGTATTTGTATAATATTATATTAGATAATTTATGGAATATAATTAAATGTTTACTTAAATTTAGTAATTCATTTAAAATTTTAATTTCACTCCAAACTAAAAGTTTAAAATTAACATTTATTAAAAAAATTACAATTTAAAAAAATAATTAAGATGTTGCCAAATTCTAGCATTTTAAGAATAATAAACAAGCATATTCTCTAATCTCTCTCTCACTCAACAAAGTTCCTCTTAGCTCACACATGCAAACCTTATAGAGATTTACAATTACGTACTCACACTTATGGAGACACCCTCTTTTGAGGAATCCAAGTGATAGCCCCTATTGCTCTATAATGGTTGTAATTCCCTTTTAAGGCTTTTTTTTTTTTAGTTGTTGATTTCTTGGAGAATTAGTTTTCCTTGCATCTGACTATATTCCTCATTTAATAGGACTTTTCAAAAGAAAAGTAAATCCATTAAGAACTTTTATTAGGAGATACCACTATAACATAAAGAGTTACTGACCACACGTGTTTAACCACATATTGTATATGCACGTGGTAAAAGAATAAGTTACACCACTTATAATTTCCACTTTTATAGATATTATCACCAAAGGTGTTTAGTCCAGTGCATCTCAATTAATTTCTCAAGGTCCTGGAACTGTTGGTCGGGTAAAACCTCTAATAGCCACCCATATTAGTGTTTAGAGAAACTTGAATTCAGAAATTCATAGAACTTTCTTTTGTTCTTTTACTATCAAACCACCCAATAATGATTTATAAAGATTGCTATATTTACTACTCTTGATGGTAAGTAGTAAATAAAATTGATATTTACCACGTTCATTGGATTGTATGTGATCGATATTTTTATTGATTTGTATGTGGTTTATAGTTACTCAAATACGACTAGTGTTTGCAAGTGATTAATATTCATTTATACCTTCCACTCATTATTTTAGATATTCTAATTCTCAAATGGAAGTTTCTATCTTTTTGTCCACGTGATGCTCTCCATATTAATTACGTAATGCCTAAAAATTAAAATATGAAGGGCCAGGAAAAAAGATGCTTTATTTTGCTTAAGGCATTATTGAGTATTTATTCTCTTAAAAGTCACTTAATGTGGGATAATGAAGAGTTGTGCTATTCCTTGTCATCAACGGATTGAAATAAATTAAGCTTAAGAACAACCATCCCTTTTATATGTCATGGAATCCCACCACTCCTCTACAGTTCTACCATTAACAAAATGTATAATAAATTAATACAAATTATGCTTCTATGTTAAAAAGAAAATTCTTTGACCAGAATTGTTAGGTTATAATTTTTTACTTTAAATGAAAGTTATTGTCACATCTTTTATATTAGTAAATTTTAAGTTTTAGTTTCTTCATATAGTCATTTTAAGTAAGCTGAAGTTGAATACAAAGTAGGTAAATATTCGTTCACTGAATGTTATCGAAATATTTGGACTTTTCAGAAAGATATTATAATATAGGTGCCCAGTTTGGGCTGAGCCCAGAAGTCCAATAAATTGTTTTACTAGATTCTGATGGTTTTAAGCTTACAAATGTAGAAGATGAACACTGGTATTGTTTAGTGGTCAGGCAGGGCGACGATTTAAAAGATTTTGGTACATCTCTCAAGAAATTTCCTTTTTTTTTTGTTTTTTTGGGTTGTCACATTATTTTGTCAAATAAAACTGCAGAAGGTGTAAGTGTGAAGGGAACACAGAAATCTTAATTAGATACACTACCATGGGAGAAGAAGACAGTACGCTACCGACTTACTCTTTGGAATCTGATTTGACTTTGCCACTACTTTAACAAAGTTAAAAAAGAAGAAAAAAACAAATAAAAAATACAAAGCAAAAACAGTTATGCTTTTATATTAAGTCATGACTCATTATAAACAAAACAAAATTACAAAATCTTCTAAATTAAACAGTAGACACAATTTCTAGTCAAAAGAGGTCTTTACTATATTTTCGTGGGTGTGCTTTAAAGTTAACTTATCTCTTAAGGTGGATTATAAAAAAACTTAATCACTAAGAAAGTGGTATCATTCCCCTAAGTATTTTTTTATTAGTAATTTGGTCACATTAGCATGAAAGGGGTGGTGGCGCAGTGGGCTAGCGCGTAGGTCTCATAGCTGTTCTGAGTGATCCTGAGGTCGAGAGTTCGAGCCTCTCTCACCCCAATTTTTGTTTCTTGTTTTTCTTGTTAAGAACATTAACCGTAAAGAGAAGTAACTGAAAGTTTTTTAAAAAATTCTGATATTTAATAGTAAGATATAGATGCGTTTAGGTAAATGGTTAAATTTTGTCATACCAAAAATACACATTGATATTAGTACTACCAATTAGAGTTTAACAAGCATTTAAAGTTAAAGTGATATTAATTGTCAAAACCCAAATCGTTTCAAAGGAATATTATATAACACATGTCCTATCTTTATCAAAATAAAGGATTAGAATGAATGAGAGTTTTCTATGTGTTCAGACAATTTATAAAAATACTTGCTACGTTAAATTCAAAGGTGTATAAAATAACAACTTTTTTTATGAAATGAGGAGGCTTGATATATAAGAGATGAGCACAAATGTGAGCCTCAATCATTATTTTTCTCAATAAATAAAACATTACTCTATTTTTATACACCTTATAGATAATATCAGAAAAAGAGTCAGAGAATAATAAAATAACAGTAAATACAAAATTCATTTTAAGCATCCGAACTATTATAAAAATCCCTCTTGTCAATCTTCCATTTATGTTTCTTCAAATATATATCATCTCTGCACCATAATCAACTCTCACAATCACTCACGTGTAATTTTTAAAACCTACTTAACACTTTGCACGTGTGAAGTCAGTGTCAAAATCAAACATTAACAAATTTACTTTTCAATTTTTCAGAAATAATGCCCAAGGGAGTTGACACTGCAACTAGAGTAGTTGTGTACTTGTGTGCAACTCCTAAAGGTTCATGACATTGCTCAAAGTGGCCCTCAGATTAAGAAAATATATCAAAATGAGATCAACTGTAAACCAAGGTGATGCATATCACTGATCAGTTAATAATTCACTAGCAACATCACTTCCTAATATGATTTTTAATCACTAATGTTTAATACAGAAGCTTATCAAAACACCATCAGAGATTACCTAAAGAACTAGAAGCATTTTCATCTACACAAAACACTTATTACGGAACCAAAATCAGTGCCATTCTATTCCTCCAAATGTGGTAGAGCCAACACCTTCCCACACTTGACCAAACCCCACTTCTTCATCATCAACACCTTCCATGTCACAGTCCACCAGCCTCTACGTTAGATCTGTAGCAGAGATATACAGTCAGAATGTGTTGTTAATATCACAAACATAAGGTAAATGAGTTTAAAGGAGAACAAAAAATGACTCGAGTTTTTTCCTTAAAGGAGCATTATTACTAACAGTGGTTATAGGAAGGTCTTGGTTTCTGTGCTTATTGAGCTCTTTTCCCTTCCTTTTCGGTTCCACTTTGAATCATCTCCCAGAACTACAAAAGGCTTCGAGTTGTATGCTTTATCTGCACTGGAAACCATGCATAAAATTGGTTAAATTCAGAACCAGGACATAAACTAGATTATCGACTGACAAGCACCAAGCAATTGATATGGCCAGGTTGCCTTAGTTACCAACTACTTTAGGTCCTGCCATAAGAGATGTTAAACATCATAAACAAACATAATTGTGTATCTTATCATCATGTAGTTCAGAAAGAAAATTCGGAACCAGATATATTCTCACACATGGTATCTTAAGTTCTTTTTTCACTTATTGCATTCTCTCAAATTCTAACCAGAAATAGAATCAACGACTTTTGCACTCTGCTATAGGTAGCGCCTCTCTCTCTTGTTACAACCTTGAATGCAGCTAATGACATAATTTAGATTATGCCCCAATCAGATTGATCTGGTACGGTTTTCACATAGGAGACAGATGAAACAATTAGGAAGTACTTGACAAACAAATGTACCCGTTGTAATGATACACATCTCAAATACATTGAAGTTCCTTAGCAAACACATATCAGAATGTCCATGTTGGGCATTGGTAAAACTTTAAAATATTCAATCAATCCCAATACTTAGTACCAATAAGCAAGGACAAAAACAAAATTTGCCTTAAAAATGTTCATCCTCTTTCCTTGATCCTGAGAGTTGAGGCACGAAAAATCAAACCTGAGACTCAAAATACAATAGATACGTAAGATTAAGTGCATGAAAAGGTCACGACTAAGAAGTGAAAGTCCCTTTTGCTAAGCAAGAAGAGTATTAAATTATTGTTCTTGATCCCGTAACATAATCTTAACTAAAATTCATTCAACCATCTACTTGCTTTTCTGCAAGCAACCTCTGCAAATTACTGTGCCATTCCATCAACTTTTAGCTTTTTCACACTTCATGGAACATTATTCTATGTCGACTTACTTAGTGTTCTGAGACAGAGAGTAACAAACAGCCAGGACACTTACCTGAGATTATGGCTTCTTTGAGCTGAAGCATCTGATATAGAAGCACAACAGAGTAAATCAGCAATTAGTAATGATTAGGAAGGAAAAGGGTAAGAACTGAGAACAACTGCCCAGAGGGATCAAAATGGGAATTATATCCTTCAAATGGGTTCCTTCTCTTTTTCGATCTTTCACATTATCTACATTAGAAATTCAACCACCAACGCTACAGGGCACATGGCCTTCCTTTTTCATACCAGTATGCTTGAACTGTTCAAGAATCTCTTTATCAAGAACATTTTTTACCTCTTCTTCCGCCTCTTTCTTAATCCCCATTTGTCCACAGTGTTTCCCACAAGCATTTCTCAGACCATGGTGTCGAAAAGGGACTCGACTTCCCTGTCAAGATTTAGTACCAAAACTTCCTTAAATACACATAAAAATTACAGCAATGCTTGCTGGTTTGCTAATATGCATTTCAAAAAGGCAAAGAAAAATCTAAATCTTGCACTAAGCCATGTCAAATTCCAATAATTGGATTAATTATCACAAAATCAATTTTTTGTAAACAAAATATGGAGGGTTTTCTCTGCTATAAAATAAAAGGTAGTTCTATACCTAAACTCAATTAATATCATTTGCAAAATTTAAACATTTGATTCAAATAGGCATAATTTCATTTAAAACATAAACCCCAGAATCTGATTTTTTTTTTTTTTTTTTTTTTTCCACTAGGGTTAAAGCAATACGAATTGTTTAGGTTGCACAGAACTTTTGTGCAACTTTCGATCAAGAAAATCTGACAATGATACGTTGATGCTTCTGAGCAGCTAATTTGTCATTTACATCTCCTTCAGTTCTTAAAACTAATTATTTTCACACACAGAAATGAAAATTGTCACATTTTTTTAATAACGATATATGAAAATTAAAAAAAAATTCATAAAAGATCAATAAATTAAACAGGGAGATGGGACGGGGTCACTTACGGATTCGAAGAACGATAGAGGAGTGTTGAAGCAAAGAGCGTTGGCCAAAAGCCCTAATTGCAGTTGGCTTCGATTTCATTTCTATGCTTCAACGTTAAACTTTATTTTTATCTCAGGCCTCCAAATTGGAATTTGTTGGGACGAACCGCTTGAAAAAAACATTTTGCCCTTCAAGTTTTGGCGCCAGAAATTCGAAATTTTTGGCTAACCATTTTTCAGTAAAGCTATAAACTATTTGCGTCATTGCGTGTATCCCAAAATAAAAAATATTTTAAACCCCTATCTGACTATTTTGTTAACGATGCATCAAATTTTGAAATGATCTTTTAACAATCATGGATATAAATATTATTTATTTATTATATTATAAGCACTAGTTTATTAAATTTATCTGAAAATTTTGAAATTGGTTAAACTAAAAAGTTTATTAAACATAATTTAAATGTATAGTTAATAAAATTTGATTCGAATTATGTTAATACTAATACTACATATTTCAAAAAATATCTCAAAATTATGTCCCAAATGATGTGTTATCCCACTAGTAATGTCATGTCATTCATTAACTCATCACTTTATTTAAATCTAAACGCCTATTGAGATTAACACATATATGAAGAATTTTGGGATAAATAGTGTTATTGAAACTAAAAATTTAATTTCTAAAAGGGTTTATAACAATAATCCCCTTGAAGTAGAATTAAATAACAAAAATCCCCATGTGTTTATAATAATCATAGAATTCTCACTGTCGTTAAGTTTTTTGTGTTAAAATAAATTGTAGATGGACAATATGGTAAATATTTATTAACCCAACAAATTATAAATTCTAACAATACACTAACGGTAAGAGAATTTCCGTTATTTATGAAATTTAGTAGAAGTTTTGTTATCTGATTAAGAGTAAACGACATGTTCCCACCCAAGGTTTGGTGAATCTACAAGTTCCCACCCATGGTTTCATAAATTGCAGATTTCCACCCTTAAATTAACCCTGTTAGTTTTCTCTAAAAATAACCCCCACATCTCAAATTTCTCTCAAATAACCCCCACAGGAGATCCCGGCCAAGCCAAAAATCCAACCTGATTCTGACACCATTGGACCTCCCCGACACCACCATTAGCATCCCCTTATCTTCCTCACCAAAACCCCTAACTTTTCCACTTAAGTGCAACTTGGCGAGGTGCTGGAATTTGGCTGGAAAAGCGCGACAACATGCGAAAACCTAAGGGAGAGGCAGTGGTGATTGGCAGACAATTTTGATCGGCGATGTTGGCCGTTTTGGTGGGGAGAGCCGATGATGCTATTGGTGGTGTTGGGGGTGGTTTCCAATGGTGGGACCTGTCGGAATTTGGATGAAATGCCGATTGAAACTAAGAGCCGGGGCTGGCAATTAGGGTGTTCAATCAGGCGGAGTGGTTAGGGGTTTTGATGTGAGGGTTGAGGGGATTGTAATGGTGGTGTTGGGAGGGGTTGACTGCATTGGGAACAAGCCGGAATGGCCTGAAATCGCCAGTGGGGTAAATTTGAGAAGTGAAGGGTTATTTTGAAATTTTTATATTTGAAATGATAATTTTACCCTTTTAACTGTTAGATTAAACAATTTTTTGTTAATTTAAGGGTGAGAATCTGCAATTTATGAAACCATGGGTGGGAAGCAGATTCGCCAAACCTTGGGCAGGAAAATGTCGTTTACTCTTTGATTAAACCTAGGGGGCGTTTGGTTCAGGGAATGTTAGATTATTGAGAATATTGGATTACTGGAAAGATAGATTACCTTGAAGATTACTGGGAATCTTTAGGGTATGCTTGGGAGTTTTATGGTAGCGGTTATGAGAGTAAACCATCGTAGCGGTTTTGAGAGTAAACCACTGTAACGGGTTTGAGGGGTTTTTAGTAGCGGTTTTTAAAACACCAAACCTGTGTTTGAGAGTTTATTTTCCAGCTGTTCTGATAGTTTTTTAAAATGATAAATTTACATATATGCCCATAAAAATACTCAAACTTCAACTAGTATTTGGGAGTTTTTTTTTTTTCAATTACCAATACTTAGTATCAAAGTTCCTTCCAAGTTTAATTTATTTGTAAGTTCTTTTATTGTATATTATTTAATTCATCACACAATCATTCGAAATCTGTCATTTTAAGAGAATAAATATGCTGCCACAATGTTGGGAACCTTATTCTATGTCGACTTACTTAGTAGTTCTGAGACAGAGAGTAACAAACAGCCAGGGCACTTACCTGAGATTATTGGCTTCTTTGAGCTGAATGCATTGATTTATAGAAGCACAACAGAGTAAATCAGCAATTAGTAATGATTAGGAAGGAAAAGGTAAGAACTGAGAACAACTGCCAGAGTGATCAAAATGGGAATTATACCTTCAAAGGGTTCCTTCTCTTTTTCGATTCTTTCACATATCTACATTAGAAATTCAACTTCACCAACGCTACAGGAGCACATGGCCTCTCCTTTTTCACTACCAGTATGCTTGAACTGTTCAAGAATCTCTTATCAAGAACATTTTTTACCTCTCTTCCACCTTTCTTAATCCCCATTTGTCCATCAGTGTTGCCACCAGCATTTCTCAGACCCATGGTGTCGAAAAGGGACTCGACTTTCCCTGTCAAGATTTAGTACCAAAACTTCCTTAAATACACATAAAAATTACAGCAATGCTTGCTGGTTTGCTAATATGCATTTCAAAAAGGCAAAGAAAAATCTAAATCTGCACTAAGCCATGTCAAATTCCAATAATTGGATTAATTTATCACAAAATCAAATTTTTGTAAACAAAATGTGGAGGGTTTTCTCTGCATAAAATAAAAGGTAGTTCTAATCTAAACTCAATTAATATCATTTGCAAAATTTTAAACCATTTGATTCAAATGGCATAATTTCATTTAAAACATAAGACCCCAGAATCTGATTTTTTTTTTCCACTAGGGTTTAAAGCAATACCTGAATTGTTTTAGGTTGCACAGAACTTTTGTGCAACTTTCGATCAAGAAAATCTGACAATGATACGCTTGATGCTTTTGAGCAGCTAATTTGTCATTTACATCTCCTTCAGTATTTAAAACTAATTATTTTCACACACAGAAATGAAAAAAATGTCACATTTTTTAATAAAAATATATGAAAATTAAAAAAAAATTCATAAAAAGATCAATAAATTAAAACAGGGAAGATGGGGCGGGGTCACTTACGGATTCGAAGAACGATAGAGGAGTGTTGAAGCAATAGAGCGTTGGCCAAAAGCCCTAATTGCAAGTGGCTTCGATTTCATTTCTATGCTTCAACGTTTAAAATATTTTTTATCTCAGGCCTCCAAATTGGAATTTGTTGGGACGAACCGCTTGAAAAAAACATTTTGCCCTTCAAGTTTTGGCGCCAGAAATTCGAAATTTTTGGCTAAACATTTTTCAGTAAAGCTATAAACTATTTGCGTCATTGCGTGTATCCCAAAATAAAAAATTTTTAAACCCCTAGTTGACTATTTTGTTAACGATGCATTCAAATTTTGAAATGATCTTTTTAATCAATCATGGATATAAATATATATATTTTATTATATTATAAGCACTAGTTTATTAAATTTATCTGAAAATTTTGAAATTAGGTTAAACTAAAAAAGTTTATTAAACATAATTTAAATGTATAGTTAATAAAATTTGCATTCGAATTATGTTAATACTTAATACTACATATTTCAAAAAATATCTCAAAATTTATGTCCCAAATGATGTGTTATCCCACTCAGTAATGTCATGTCATTCATTAACTCATCACTTTATTTAAATCTAAAACCTATTGAGATTACACATAGAGCTGGGCATTTGGGATCGGCCCAAAAGCCCAGCTCCAAAACCCGGTCCTAGGACCGATCCTTGAGAGGAACGGTCCTAGGAGGCCTGGTCCCAAAACGGGACCAGGCCTAAAGAGGAGGGCCCGGGCCCTCCATTGGGCCCTTCCAAGGCCCGGGCCTGGGACCGGTCCCAGGCCTAGGCCCAATTCTTTTGTATTTTTTCAATATAGTCCCTGAAAACAACAAAACCCCATATTAATTTTAAATAAAATAAATTACGAGGGTTAAAATGAAATTTTATAAAATTTATAAAAAAAAAAAAAATCTTCTAGGTCCAAAAAATTTATAAATTTACCCCTAAAAAATACTAAAAACCCCCTATAAAATTTTGTTTTGCCCCCAAAATATAAAAAAAATAAGGGGAAAAATGAAATTATCCAAGCCCATGGGACTAGTCTAGGACGGTCCTGGGCCCATGGGACCAGTCTCGACCAGGCCTAGGGCCTGGTCCGGGTCTTGGTTTTTCTCATGGGCCTGGGACCGTCCCAGGCCCATGAGTGACTGGTCCCATTTGGGACTGGTCCCTTGCGGGCCCAGGCCCGGTCCCAGGCCCATGAGTGACTGGTCCCATTTGGGACCAGTCCAAACGGGCCCAGGCCTGGCCCGCAAGGACCAGTCCCTTGCCCATCTCTATTAAAGTTAACTTATCTCTTAAGGTGGATTATAAAAAAACTTAATCACTAAGAAAGTGGTATCATTCCCCTAAGTATTCTTTTATTAGGAATTTGGTCATATTAGCATCAACGGGGTGGTGGCGCAGTTGGCTAGCGCGTAGGTCTCATAGCTTTTCTGAGTGATCCTGAGGTCGAGAGTTCGAGCCTCTCTCACCCCAATTTTTGTCTCTTGTTTTTCTTGTTAAGAACGTTAACCGTAAAGAGAAGTAACTGAAAGTTTTAGAAAAAATTCTGATATTTAATAGTAAGACATAGATGCGTTTAGGTAAATGGTTAAATTTTGTTATACCAAAAATACTAATTAATGTCAGTATCACCGATCAGAGTTTAACAAATACTTAAAGGTAAAGTGATATTAATTGTCAAAATCTAAACCGTTTCAAAGAAATAGTATATAACACATGTCCTATTTTTATCAAAATAAAGGATTACAATGAATGAGAGTTTTTCATGTGTTTAAACAACTTGTAAAAACACTCGTTAAATTCAAAGGTGTATAAAATAACAACTTTTTTTTATGAAATGAAAAGGCTTGATATATAAGAGATGAGCACAAATGTGAGCCTCAATCATTATTTTTCTCGACAAATAAAGCATTACTCTATTTTTATATACCTTACAGATAATATCAGAAAAAGAGTCAGAAAGTAATAAAATAACAGTAAATATATAATTCGTTTTAAGCATCCGAACCATTATAAAAATCCCTCTCGTCAATCTTCCATTTATGTTTCTTCAAACATATATCATCTCTGCATCATACTCAACTCTCACAATCACTCACGTGTAATTTCTAAAACCCACTTAACACTTTACATGTGTGAAGTCAATGTCGAAATCAAACGTCAACAAATTTACTTTTCAATTTTTCAGAAATAATGCCCAAGGGAGTTGACACTGCAACTAGCGTAGTTGTGTACTTGTGTCCAACTCCTAGAGGTTCATGACATTGCTCCAAAGTGGCCCTCAGATTAAGAAAATATATCTAAAAATGAGATCAACTGGTAAACAACAGGTGATGCATATCACTGATCAGTTAATAATTCACTAGCAACATCACTTCCTAATAATGATTTTTAATCACTAATGTTTAATACAGAAGCTTATCAAAACACCATCAGAGATTACCTAAAGAACTAGAAGCATTTTCATCTACACAAAACACTTATTACGGAACCAAAATCAGTGCCATTCTATTCCTCCAAATGTGGTAGAGCCAACACCTTCCCACACTTGACCAAATCCCACTTCTTCATCATCAACACCTTCCATGTCACAGTCCCACCAGCCTCTACCGTTAGCATCTGCTAGCAGAGAATTACCAGTCAGAATGTGTTGTTAATAATCACAAAACATAAGGTAAATGAGTTTAAAAGAGAACAAAAAATGACTCCAGTTGTTTTTTTAACGGAACATTATTACTAACAGTGGTTATAGGAAGGTCTTGGTTTCTTGTTGCTTATTGAGCTCTTTTCCCTTCCTTTTCGGTTCCACTTTGAATCATCTCCCAGAACTACAAAAGGCTTTCGAGTTGTATGCTTCTCATCTGCACCTGGAAATCCATGCATAAAATTGGTTAAATTCAGAACCCAGGACATAAACTAGATTATCGACTGACAAGCACCAAGCAATTGATATGGCCAGGTTGCCTCATTTACCAACTACTTTAGGTCCTGCCATAAGAGATGTTAAACATCATAAACAAACATAATTGTGTATCTTATCATCATGTAGTTCAGAAAGAAAATTCGGAACCAGATATATTCTCACACATGGTATCTTAAGTTCTTTTTTCACTTATTGCATTCTCTCAAATTCTAACCAGAAATAGACTCAACGACTTTCTGCACTCTGCTATAGGTAGCGCCTCTCTCTCTTGTTACAACCTTGAATTGCTGCAGCTAATGACATAATTTAGATTATGCCCAAATCAGATTGATCTGGTACTGGTTTTCACATAGGAGACAGATGAAACAATTAGGAAGTACTTGACAAACAAATGTACCCCGTTGATAATGATACACATCTCAAATACATTGAAGTTCCTTAGCAAACACATATCAGAATGTCCATGTTGGGCATTGGTAAAACTTTAAAATATTCAATCAATCCCAATACTTAGTACCAAATAAGCAAGGACAAAAACAAAATTTGCCTTAAAAATGTTCATCCTCTTTCCTTGATCCTGAGAGTTGAGGCACGAACAAATCAAACATGAAGACTCAAAATACAATAGATACGTAAGATTAAGTGCATGAAAAGTAGTCACGACTAAGAAGTGAAAGTCCCTTTTGCTAAGCAAGAAAGAGTATTAAATTATTGTTCTTGATCCCGTAACATAATCTTAACTAAAATTCATTCAACTCATCTACTTGCTTTTCTGCAAGCAACCTCGTGCAAATTACTGTGCCATTTCCATCAACTTTTTAGCTTTTTACACACTTCATGGAACATTATTCTATGTCGACTTACTTAGTAGTTCTGAGACAGAGAGTAACAAACAGCCAGGACACTTACCTGAGATTATTGGCTTCTTTGAGCTGAATGCATCTGATTTATAGAAGCACAACAGAGTAAATCAGCAATTAGTAATGATTAGGAAGGAAAAGGGTAAGAACTGAGAACAACTGCCTAGAGTGATCAAAATGGGAATTATATACCTTCAAATGGGTTCCTTCTCTTTTTCGATTCTTTCACATTATCTACATTAGAAATTTCAACTTCACCAACGCTACAGGAGCCCATGGCCTCTCCTTTTTCATTACCAGTATGCTTGAACTGTTCAAGAATCTCTTTATCAAGAACATTTTTTACCTCTTCTTCCACCTCTTTCTTAATCCCCATTTGTCCATCAGTGTTGCCACCAGCATTTCTCAGACCCACTGGTGTCGAAAAGGGACTCGACTTTCCCTGTCAAGATTTAGTACCAAAACTTCCTTAAATACACATAAAAATTACAGCAATGCTTGCTGGTTTGCTAATATGCATTTCAAAAAGGCAAAGAAAAATCTAAATCTTGCACTAAGCCATGTCAAATTCCAATAATTGGATTAATTTATCACAAAATCAATTTTTTTGTAAACAAAATATGGAGGGTTTTCTCTGCTATAAAATAAAAGGTAGTTCTAATACCTAAACTCAATTAATATCATTTGCAAAATTTTAAACCATTTGATTCAAATAGGCATAATTTCATTTAAAACATAAGACCCCAGAATCTGATTTTTTTTTTTTTTTTTTTTTTTTTTTTTTCCACTAGGGTTAAAAGCAATACCTGAATTGTTTTAGGTTGCACAGAACTTTTGTGCAACTTTCGATCAAGAAAATCTGACAATGATACGCTTGATGCTTTCTGAGCAGCTAATTTGTCATTTACATCTCCTTCAGTATTTTTAAAACTAATTATTTTCACACACAGAAATGAAAATTGTCACATTTTTTTAATAAAAATATATGAAAATTAAAAAAAAAATTCATAAAAAGATCAATAAATTAAAACAGGGAAGATGGGGCGGGGTCACTTACGGATTCGAAGAACGATAGAGGAGTGTTGAAGCAATAGAGCGTTGGCCAAAAGCCCTAATTGCAATTGGCTTCGATTTCATTTCTATGCTTCAACGTTTAAACTTTATTTTTATCTCAGGCCTCCAAATTGGAATTTGTTGGGACGAACCGCTTGAAAAAAACATTTTGCCCTTCAAGTTTTGGCGCCAGAAATTCGAAATTTTTGGCTAACCATTTTTCAGTAAAGCTATAAACTATTTGCGTCATTGCGTGTATCCCCAAAATAAAAAATATTTTAAACCCCTATCTGACTATTTTGTTAACGATGCATTCAAATTTTTGAAATGATCTTTTTAATCAATCATGGATATAAATATATATTTATTTTTATTATATTATAAGCACTAGTTTATTAAATTTATCTTGAAAATTTTGAAATTAGGTTAAACTAAAAAAGTTTATTAAACATAATTTAAATGTATAGTTTAATAAAATTTGCATTCGAATTATGTTAATACTTAATACTACATATTTCAAAAAATATCTCAAAATTTATGTCCCAAATGATGTGTTATCCCACTCAGTAATGTCATGTCATTCATTAACTCATCACTTTATTTAAATCTAAACGCCTATTGAGATTACACATATATGAGAATTTTGGGATAAATAGTGTTATTGAAACTAAAAATTTAATTTCTAAAAGGGTCTATAACAATAATCCCCTTGAAGTAGAATTAAATAACAAAAATCCCCATGTGTTTATAATAATCATAGAATTCTCACTGTCGTTAAGTTTTTTGTGTTAAAATAAATTGTAGATGGACAATATGGTAAATATTTATTAACCCAACAAATTATAAATTCTAACAATACACTAACGGTAAGAGAATTTCTGTTATTTATGAAATTTAGTAGAAGTTTTGTTATCTGATTAAGAGTAAACGACATGTTCCCACCCAAGGTTTGGTGAATCTACAAGTTCCCACCCATGGTTTCATAAATTGCAGATTTCCACCCTTAAATTAACCCTGTTAGTTTTCTCTAAAAATAACCCCCACATCTCAAATTTCTCTCAAATAACCCCCACAGGAGATCCCGGCCAAGCCAAAAATCCAACCTGATTCTGACACCATTGGACCTCCCCGACACCACCATTAGCATCCCCTTATCTTCCTCACCAAAACCCCTAACTTTTCCACTTAAGTGCAACTTGGCGAGGTGCTGGAATTTGGCTGGAAAAGCGCGACAACATGCGAAAACCTAAGGGAGAGGCAGTGGTGATTGGCAGACAATTTTGATCGGCGATGTTGGCCGTTTTGGTGGGGAGAGCCGATGATGCTATTGGTGGTGTTGGGGGTGGTTTCCAATGGTGGGACCTGTCGGAATTTGGATGAAATGCCGATTGAAACTAAGAGCCGGGGCTGGCAATTAGGGTGTTCAATCAGGCGGAGTGGTTAGGGGTTTTGATGTGAGGGTTGAGGGGATTGTAATGGTGGTGTTGGGAGGGGTTGACTGCATTGGGAACAAGCCGGAATGGCCTGAAATCGCCAGTGGGGTAAATTTGAGAAGTGAAGGGTTATTTTGAAATTTTTATATTTGAAATGATAATTTTACCCTTTTAACTGTTAGATTAAACAATTTTTTGTTAATTTAAGGGTGAGAATCTGCAATTTATGAAACCATGGGTGGGAAGCAGATTCGCCAAACCTTGGGCAGGAAAATGTCGTTTACTCTTTGATTAAACCTAGGGGGCGTTTGGTTCAGGGAATGTTAGATTATTGAGAATATTGGATTACTGGAAAGATAGATTACCTTGAAGATTACTGGGAATCTTTAGGGTATGCTTGGGAGTTTTATGGTAGCGGTTATGAGAGTAAACCATCGTAGCGGTTTTGAGAGTAAACCACTGTAACGGGTTTGAGGGGTTTTTAGTAGCGGTTTTTAAAACACCAAACCTGTGTTTGAGAGTTTATTTTCCAGCTGTTCTGATAGTTTTTTAAAATGATAAATTTACATATATGCCCATAAAAATACTCAAACTTCAACTAGTATTTGGGAGTTTTTTTTTTTTCAATTACCAATACTTAGTATCAAAGTTCCTTCCAAGTTTAATTTATTTGTAAGTTCTTTTATTGTATATTATTTAATTCATCACACAATCATTCGAAATCTGTCATTTTAAGAGAATAAATATGCTGCCACAATGTTGGACTTCGCAAATTATCAATATAACAACCGCAACAGCATTTCTAAAAAACAGTTTTTTGTTCTTTTCTTCAATCAGTGAAGCAAAGCCATAAAAAACAATCTTTATTTAACAAACTGACAAGGATTCAATCAATCACCTAAACGCAAATAGAAAGAATCAAATAGAGGAAAAACCATGTAATTTTTTAAAACAACTGGTAAAGAAATGCAATTAAATTGTATACAGCCTGTAGAGGAGTTTACCAGATTAAAAGAACAAAAAGTTGAAGGGAAAAATGAAGAAGAAAGAAAAACCTTCATATCTCTAATGAAGGATTAGAAAGCCTAAGATAAAAGATTCAAAAGCATTGTAACAATGATCTAAAAGTTGAAGATTGAATGGAGTTTGAAGAAATTTTTAAACTAGCAAAGGGATTATTGTATATGAATAATAGTGGAAAGGGGTTTTTTTGGAATAAATTTTTTAAACCAGCCAAAACACCTCGATTTGGGGTGTTTTATAAACCCCTCAAAAATACACTACACTGGTTTTGGGGGGTTTTTAAACTAGTCAAAACCAGTCCATAAAAAATCTAGCAAGTAATGGTTTTTAAATACCTCAAAACCAGTCTAATTAAAAACCCCTTAAAACCAGTGAAAAAAAAACTCCCAAGCAGACCCTTAGGAAAATATGTTTGGTTAATTGGTGAGTATGTTATATTAATATGTTTGGCTGGGAGGAATAAATTGGTGGGTATGTCATTTAAATTACTGAATTGTCCTCTAATTAAATATTATTATTATTATATTATTTTTTAATATTATTATTATTATTATTATTTGGATTGCTGTAACCCCCTTACATTTAAAAACTTAGCAAAAACAACCCCATAATAAAAGTTTGAAAAATCAACAAAGCACCCCCACCAACCCAGCCACTTCCGACCGCCGGCAACCACTGCAAGCCATTGGCACCTGGCAACCTAACAGTGCGCGGAAGGCAGGAAATGGCCTCCGTGCGCCGTTTGGCCATTTCCAGCCAGAGATCTGGTTGAAAATGGCCAGACTTGACAGATCTGGTCGTCGATGGCCAGATCGATGGTCGTTAACGGCCAGATCGATGGCCGTTAACGGCCACAGACGTGGTTGTTAACGACCATCGATCTGGCCGTTGACGACCAAATCGATGACGGATCTGGCCTTTTACAGCTAGATCTGGCCATATCAGCGCACAGCGACCATTTTCGGCCTTCTGTGCATCGTTCCGACAGTGGCGGCGGTTGGCCGCGACGGTGTTTACCGGCGACAGGTGGCTGGGGGTGGTGGCTTGGGTGGGCTGTAATTTGTTTTGAATTCAAGGGTAATTTTGTCCAAAAAGTTAATTAATTAGGGGTGAAATAGTAAAAGCCATATTCATGTAAATAAATTTAAAAATAAGGGCATTATTGTCCTAAAATTTTATTAATAAGGGATAAAATTGTAACAAAAAAAGATATTCCTGATAATCTTAGAATACCTAAGAAAATTGAGGTAATCAGATTACCTCATATATTGGTTACTATTGGTATTTGAAGATTACCGGTATCTTATATTATTTGACAACCAAACATGGTAATAAAGTAATATAAGATGACTTAACCTCAGTAATCTCCGATACCTCCTAACCAAACGCCCCCCTAGGGTTAAGTCAAAAGTCAAAATCCCTTTCTAAATTTCCGATATGTGTACTTTAAAGGAAGATGTGGTGATTTTTATATTTGGTTACAAATAGAAATAGCTCCACCCTATTTGAATAAATTCAAACTTTACATTTCAATAATACTCAACCAAATGATAACCAAATATAATGTTACAAATAAGCCTCCTTCATAAAATTATAAACTTTACAATACATTTAACACATCATTTTCTACCTTTTCCATGACGTGTCTTTTGCGTTAGAGTTAACTGTTAAGAACATGACACCGTAAATACATCGTGATATAGGAAGCCAATTTTTTTATGTTACTGTCCGAGTTGCGTTGTGACATGGTTTTGTATTCCGACGTGTCTTTGGCGTGGAATAACAACACCAAATTCGATTTGTAGAACTACCTATATACATGTATATTTAACAGTAATTAACACAAAATATTTCTGCATAAACATAATTAATATTATTTTCCATCTTTAGGCCGGAGCTCAATTCCTTCAACAATAAGGCCACGCTTAGTGTGCAATCCCTTGAAATAAAAAACACTACAAATCAACATTCCATTATCACCATTTTCATTGAAGAACTCACCCATCTCAATCTCCATCCATCCATCTCCTCTCTTTTGAGATAGTTTTGGCGTATTTCTCGGAGGATCTAAATACACATTGCGCCTCTCCCCATTATCTATTCCTTCTAAATACACACCTAATTTCACAGGTCTTGTTCTAAAACCGGATGTAGATTCAGTCAGCTTAAACACAAGGTAAGCTCCATAGTTGGTTTTGGGAGACAAAATTTTGGTATCGATTTTTCCCTTCACATCAAGCCACCACACATAATTGAGTTCAGCCACTTTACAAAACCTGCAAATGCAAATATTTTACATATTTATAAAGCAAAACTTAAGAGCTAATGCTATTACAACCCTGAAACTCTAAATACTGACAAAAAAGTCTGTCGTTAAATGTCACCGTTGAATTGGATGATGACTCGTTTTGACATTTGCAATGTTTGGTTTGCCCTTGAATCATTGACTTTCTGAATTTCTAAATATTATGCAAAATGATAACATTTTTTAATATTAGTGCTACTAAAAATCTATATAGGTTTTATTCAAAACTATCAAATTATTTAGGTGAGACATAAGGGAGTGTACATATAATACATAATTAACTTTTATTTAAGTATTAGAAATTTTCCTTAATCGAACTCAAGACCGATTAAGTAATATACCCAAGAGTTTCTATTGAACCACTCGGCTACTCGGAGGTTGGTTTACGTCAATGCACATGAGCGAAACCATGAATTTTGTTTTGGGGAGGGCTAAATTTGTTTTTCAAAACAAGAGCTAAAATTAAAGGTGCGTTTGTTTCCCTCTTTTTGCCCTACCATATTCCTATCATTTTCAAAATACACATTTGTTTCTCTATTCTGAAAATATTATTATATTTTATTCAATTAATTTAAACCTCCTAAGTTTGTTAATTTAACTAAACACTCCCCAAAAAGTTTAGAAATTGGCAAAAACACCCCCACCCACTCACCCACCCACATTTGCCAGATTCCGGCCACCACTGTCAGAAGGTGGCCGAAATCTGGTATAATGACGTACTACCGGTTGGATCTGGCCGTTAGTGCACCAATATAGCCTTTTCCGACTAGATCTGGCCGATAGTGCTCCGATATAGCCTTTTTTGGCCAGATCAGCCATGGATCTGGCCGAAAAAGGCTAGATCTTTGGCCGTAGCTAGTCGTCAATGATGGCCATATCTTTGGCCGTTGTTGACGACCAAATGCGGCTAGATCTGGCCGTCAATGGCCAGATCTAGCTGTAGATCTGACCCTTTTTGGCCAGATCCAAGGTGGATCTGGTTGGAAAAGGCCATATAGGTGCATGATTGGTCAGATCCAGTCGGTAATAATTTTTAATGTTTTTATTACAAGGGTGTTTAGTAAATTAACAAACCTAGAGCGGTGTTTTTGTTAATTTTCAAATCCTACCTTGTTATTACCACCCAAGTCTTACTTTTTCAAAATCCAAAATACTAAAACAAACGCACCCAAGATATTATAAAGGGAATAGAAGCACATCTTAATCAAGTATGATAGAGAAATTAAAATTTGTTTTGGGAAGGCTGAATTCTTTTTTTTTTTTTTTTTTCATTTTTTATATTATTATATATATATTTTTAGATATTTTAATCACATTTTTTAATTTGGTAATAAAAAATTTATCAGATTTTATACAATTCAATAAATTCTTTTAGGTTTAACATGTAAAAGTCTGTTTTACCCCCAAAGGTTAGAGTTAACAGCTAAAATAGACGATAAGGCATATGTTTGGTAGTTTTCGGAGGTATGGGGTGTTTTCTGTTTGGAGTTTCAGGGGTTGTAATAGTATTATCCCACAACTTAAAGTATAACTCACATCCTGCATCGCCTAGTGAATGAACCAGTGATTCCGTTTAAAATGTTTGAATTCCTATAACTAAATAGATGCCTTTCGGATGAATCACGATAGAGTGAAGCAAACCCATGCGGGCTTAATCCTAAAATGGACAATATATGGATGGTTGCAACCAGCAACAAGTAACAACAATAATAATGTCATATGAATAATGGACAACAAAACAAACCTAGATTCTTGTAGGGACGACCACTTCCAACATTGAGAGTCTCCGCACGAAAAAGAAAGCCCTCTTACCCCAACCATGTAACACTTTTTTCCGCTCTCTTTTTCTATTGCAAAGCTCTGTGTTAAAGAATCGTATTAATGTTAGATTTTCTATTCAGAAAGAAGTAACAACAACATTATTTAATTTAGTTCAACCAAATTATGAAGAAGTGAACCCAGTTTTCATTAGATATCGAATAGAGATATGCACAATTTCCATCCAATTTCATTAATCAATCAAAACTCAATATTCCTGTATAATCCATACATAATAGATATATGAGTTTGGAAAGCGAATAAAATAATGAGTATAATTTATTAGCTTACCATAGTACCATTGTTGATGATGATGGGGTTATGGCAAAGATGAAGATAAAGATCCTTCTTGGACACGTTTGTAGTAAGCAACAACGGCGAGGCCGAACCGGAGATGATCTCCCGGTAATCAGACGGCAAAAACTTCTCCCACACGGCATCCGAGTCCGCAGCTGATTTGAAGACGGTAGACACCACTGAGAATCTGCATGCATCTCTAGCACATGTAAAGGAGATGGTTTCTGATATGCATTCTTCTGGGAAAACATCACTCATATCCATTTTCCTTGTCTTTCCCACTCACCAAACACCACCAGTAAGTCCTTTATATTTGATCTGTTGCCAGGGAACAACTACACAAAGACTTTGGATACTTCGCCTTGAAGGTTTGACAAACACATTATTTTAAGTGCTAAGGGACAAGTCTTTGTAATTTATTGTAACATGCATATCTATCCAATAATAGCCTATAATTTATTTTTATTTGTCCTAATTAATTAATATTAAACAAGTACAATGGTACCATATTTTCTATTTTAAGAATATCCTTGTTGGACATACGTTGTAATTAAAATATTCTATCCAATAAAAGCCTGTTATTTATTTTTATTTTTTCTAATTAATTAACTTTAAATAAGTACAATGGTATCATATTTTCTATTCTAAGAATATCCTTGTTGGACATCAGTAGTACTTAAAATATTCAATCAGTCCAAGGACAAAGACAAAATTTGCATTGGAAAAGTTCATCCTCTATCCTTCATCCCCAGAGTTGAGGCATAAACAAATCAAACATGAAGACTCAAAACACAATAGATGCTTAAAAGTTAAAACTACGTGCGTGAAAAATAAGGACAAATTGGAAATTATGCATTGTATAAGTTATAAGAAAAAATAAAAGCAAAATAAAAAAAGAAAAGCCATTCTCTCATGAAATTGATATGGTTTAGTTGTTTTATTAAAACTCTCCCTAAATTTATATATTAACAAATAGTTGAATGACACTCTTACGAAATTGGATTCCAATGTCATCACTAATTAATTTTATATCTTAATTAATTGAGTAATATTACGCCAACAACACATTCTCACAAACCTCTCTTATAATCCTGATGTGGCAGCTAAGTTGGCATTGTCACGGCAATTCCACCACATTTAACACATAAAATGATTTTGACTAAACCAAAGCAACGACCGTTCCTTATGAAGGAATAGTCATTTCTCACAGAAGGAATGACCATACCTTATGAAGGAACAACCATTCCTTATGTAAGGAAAATGTTGTTCCTTTAGGATCAAGGTTGTTCCAAGAAGAAGAAGAAAAGAGAAGAAGAAGAAGAAGAAGAAGGAACAAGGTTTTTCTAAGAAGAAGGAACATGGTTGTTCCTTCAAGAAAAAGGTTGTTCCTTCATAAGGGCAACCGTTCCTTATGGAGGAACACCTTCAGGTAGAGGACGATTGTTCATTCTAAATGAATGATTATTTGTTTTTCGTAGTACCTTGGGTGTCTTGAGTGTGATGAAAGCTGACGTGACAATGCTCTAATCTGTTGACACGTTAGGGTTGTAAGGAAAAGTTGTGAGAATATGTTATTGGTGTAGCATCACTCTAATTAATTATACTTTTCTGACTTATTATATCATTATATTATTTATAAATTACATAATAATGATTATCGAATGATTTTTGTGATATAAATAACAATATTTGAATTATTAATGAATAAAAGTTGTTTACTTATATTACAGGTTACATTTATAGATACAAATACCATTATTATAAATGTTAAGTTTGTAGTTACAAAGTATCTTTCGCACTTAAAGTTCTTATTTTATCATGATTATCTAATGATTTTTGGGATATGAAAAACAATATTGCATTATTAGCGAATAAAAAGTTTTGTTTTGTTTTGTTTTTTGTTTTTTTACTTATATTACAAGTTACATTTACATATACAAATGCCATTATTATAAATGTTAAGTTTGTAGTTACAAAGTATCTTTCGCACTTAAAGTTCTTATTTTATCATGATTATCTAATGATTTTTGGGATATGAAAAACAATATTGCATTATTAGCGAATAAAAAGTTTTGTTTTGTTTTGTTTTTTGTTTTTTTACTTATATTACAAGTTACATTTACATATACAAATGCCATTATTATAAATGTTAAGTTTATAGTTATAAGGTATCTTTCGGAGTTTCAACTCTCACATAAATTTTTATTTTATCATGATTGTCAAATATTTTTGCGAAATGAAAAACGATATTGCATTATTAATGGTAGGTTGCAAAAAACCGGTTAACCAAACCAGATATGTGCTTTTTTTTAACCGAACTGGTTTTCCGGTTCAAGCCATATTGCAAACCGAAACTGGTCCGAAACATGGCATAAACCGGTTTTATTAAAAAGCTTTCCTTTTTTTTTTTTCCTTTATCTTATGATAAAAAAATTTCCTACTTTTGGATGACAAAATTTCAAGAGACCAAAAAACCAAATGATCCACAACAATTTGACTAATTAATCACCAATTAATGCTACTGAATTCTTCTCATCCAAACATAATGACTAATCATCACCAATTACATTATCATAAAATATAAAATATTCCTTTAAATTTTAATGGCCAAGTACAAAAGTGATTAAGAAATAACAAGTGCAAGTTGTAAACTAGCATCTCCCCTCCACTTTAAGGCTTAAGCATTCTTCAATTGGCCAAGTGCAATCACGGAATCACCTGCAAGAGGAATGCAAAACTTACATTTACTCTCTCTATTACCTTTCAAAAACTAATAATTTAAATGGATTGGTATTATGTATTAAGGCCAAATATCATAATAGAATATGCAAAAGGATATCCTAGCAACATTATAATGAGAAAATAATCAAAATATCAATAAGCATATTCCAGAAATTGAAACAACAACTTACCAACAAAACCTCCATGCCAAGAGGACCAAGAAGTAACACCATATCACATCTAAAGACAATTGTTGTGAAAAATGAAAATCTGATCAGAATGTTTTCTTTTCTATCATAAATAATCAGACATACAAGACAAAAAATTAAAAGTAATATACCTCGTATATTGGGTTGTCGTTCAATCATCCATATGACTTGTGCTTTCCAATCCGAAACGCGCAATTTCTACAAATAATTGGACAAGCATGTTACATAAGTTATATTTGCAAAATATATTTAACAAAAACAACAAATAAATAACCAAAAAAGTAAAAGAAAAGGAACAATTTTACCCGTGTCGAGTTTTGATATTTTGTCCAAGCTCTCCTCTATGATGAATGGTACACGCGAAGCTCGAACCCAATCCTGTGTACAAATAAGAGCCTCCACCATCTTGGGAGTGAGGGAGCTACGAAATGGATCCAATACACGACCCCCCGTACTGAAAGCCGACTTAGATGCAATGGTAGAGACAGGCATAACTAATACATCTCTTGCTATCATAGATACAGCTCCATATTTTGTTGAATTTAACTTCTACAATTGCACGATATCAAAGCTCTTGTTGTCATCTTCACAATCATCCATTAAATATCTGTCCAACTCTGTTTTGTGATTCACAACTTTTTTTCCAGCCTGTTTCTCATGATACATATGTTAGGAAATGATCATACATGGCAGCAGAAACAAAATTATTTAAACATTATAGATCGTTCCTTAGAACCAAAATGAGGGCACAAATTTATAGTTTATACAACATATTAAAATCTGCAATAAAAAAGTTCAAGGTTAAGAAACCATACCCACGTTTGGAGGCTCATCCAATTTGTCTCGGAATGGATTTCGCTACTAACCCAAGTGTAGGATCGAACCAATGTAGTCCACACAAAGATAACCTCAAGGAACTAAAGAGGGATTTGCTAGATCCTCTTTAGCTTTTAAGAACCAAGATGAAAATCAAATGAAATATTTTCTTCAAGCAAAAGAAATCTGGCATGAGAGAGAAGCAAAGGGGCTGGAATATTTTGCTTTCAATGAATGAATGAATTAAATTAAACAATTCACAAAGTGTTGCACTTATATAGTGCACACTTTGCCCTATTCCATCATGGAATGGGCTTGGGCTCCAACCCAAACACCCATTGTATCCAAATAGCCGCTTTAAGATATTTTAATTTTAATTATTATTGTTATTTCAATTAAATTCAATTAATATATATTTCATATATTAACATTTAACAATAACAATAATTCATTTAAATATATGCGAACATATATTTAAATATAATTTCACTTATTTAATTTAATTAACAAATTAAATAAAGGTTATGACCTCAGCAAATTTAATTACAATGTGAAATTACCAAAATACCCTTTCCCCTAAAAAGACGAAAACACCATTCTTACAAACTGGTTCTTAAATTATCTTTTATGTGTGTGACCCGTAGGCTCTTTATCATACTAGCAGTGTGTAGTATCGCGATTAACACCAATTAATCGTCTCACTACACACAGACCAAGATTGGCCCCTAGCAAGGCATCATGGCCATCCGATAGATTATGATTCAGCGAAGCAGCTACCTGTCAACGATATGGTTACTGTGCAATCCAATCCTTTTATCATCTGTTATCTCGACGAGACTGAGGCATAGAAATAGTGTCAACCTCGGTTACTCTCGATATGTATGTATTCAGTTAATGGACTAATGACCTGAATAAGAATCTGGATAGAGCAACAACTCAATCCCACTGTGGCCACAGTTTTAGTGTCACTGCCATTTAATGAATTGCACCGTGAGATAACTTCTCCCGTACCCGGGAGTGATGAATCCTCTGTTTATCTACCATAGTCTTGATACACTCCTTGATGCAGCCAATCACCATCATATTGACAGCTCTGAATAGAACTATGTTAGGCTAGTGTCAAACTACACCAATCGGTACACAAGGCACTCTGGTGATCTCAAGTCTAAGGATCACATGTACCACCATTTGTTAGAGGATTTGTTCCATAGACACTGGGGTTACCATTCATATGGAATCCTCTGGTGGGTCGGTCCAGTGAACTTGACTACAGCAAGCACCCATGTGTTGCACCAGGTTATCACCAAACAACCTTGACAAGTGAGATCAGTCACTGTCTTTCGACAGAGTCATTCAATACTATGATAGCCTTACCGTATTGTCTGTGCCCTCACTTTAGAACAATATTGGGGCTACTGACGTTTCTAGAATGGCCACCATATGTGCTCATAGGGTTCTCAATATCAAGATTTGAAACACTTGATACCCTTGTCACAGTTCTACCATTCTAAGGACATA